ACCGTTCACTGCGCCTGCGCACAGCCCTTGGCCAGTCCCAAAGTTCAGAGCTGGCAGGGGTGGGCTCTAGCCAGGTCGGGGGGAGCAATGCGATACCTGAAGATGGGGGTCCTGAGTCGATGATTTTTTTAAATGTGCTTTTGGATTCTATTGCATAGGACTTTGTCAAGGATTTTTGCATCTATATTCATGAGAGATAATGATCTGTAATTTTCTTCCTTGGTTCTAACTTTGCCTCGTTTTTCGTATTAGGATAATGGTTGCTTCATAGAATGACTCTGGGAGTATTCCTTCTTTTTCTAGCTTTTAAAAGAATCTAAGTAGAATTGGTGATAAATCTTCTCTGAATGTTTAGCAGAGTTCAGTTATGAAGCCATCTGGTCCAGGACTTTTCTTATGGGGAAGTCTTTTTATGACCTATTCAATTCCTTCTTTTGTGATGAGTGTGTTCAAGAGTTCTATATTTATCCTTGTCAGCCTGTAGAGAGCATGTACTCTCCTATGGTTAATTTCTAGTTTAATGGCATTGTGGTCTGAGAAAATGCTTTGCACTATTTCAATGTTTTTTTAATTTGTTGAGGCTTGCTTTGTGTCTTAGTATGTGATTGATTCTGGAAAATGTACCATGTGTACTTGAGAAGAAAGTGAATTGAGATTTCATTGGGTACAGTACCCTGAATACATCCACAAGCCTGCGTTTGCTGAATGTATAGTTTAGATCTTCTGCATCTTTGCTGAGTTTCATTTGAGTTGGCCTATCCTTTCTTGATAGTGGTGTGTTGTGTTGAGGTCTTCTACCACTATTGTGATGCTATTTCTTTCTACAGTTTTGTTAACTGTTGCTTTATGTATTTTGCAGGTCTATCATTTGGTGCATAAATGTTGACAAGTTTACATCTTCTTGATCTATTGTGCTTTTAGTCAGCATGTAATGTCCTTCCTTATTTTTTCCCCCTTTGTAACTGAACTGTATTTGTTATAACTTTTGTGGTAGCAGGTGAGCTGGCACTGTAAACTTGGTTACATCTCAGAACCTGCCTTGACAGCAGCCGCCTAGGAGGTGCCTAGTTTTGCTACTCTAAACCTCTTCTTTGGAAAACAAGCCCTGGATGTGGAGGCTCACAGAGCTGCTTCGGTGTAATACACTGGTTTCTAGACGCCTGGTACATGCAAAGTTGGGCACTACAGAGGGTGGGAGGCTTATCTGGATCCTAGAAGATCAAACTCAGGCAGTCTTAACAGAGAGTTTCTTCTTAACATCAAAGTATAGCTCAACATTTTAGTGACCAAAAATTATTTACTAAGGAATCCATTGAATAGCTAACTTCAGAACACGGTTAGGGTTGAGTTACACACACCTTACAACAGAAATGACCTCCGTCTGGTAAATTAGCCAACGTAAATCAAGGGGACAATTGGCTCTGCCAGAGCACCTACAGTATGCAGGATCACAAGCAGAAGGAAGCTCATCTGCCCCCGGGGTTATTGTCATGCCATACAATTTCTTTAAATGTTAACAAAAATAAAGAAAAGAATCCTTCAAAATATATTATCAGAGAGAAGGAATGAGGGTGAAGTAGTGAACGTGGACAGCGAGTGGAGCTGGGCTCAGTTGACCTCTTCCATGCGTGTCGTCGTCTCCCTCCAGTGGGGGCATCTCCTCAGTGACCGTGGCACTCGTGTTGTCAGCAGTGGGGTCGTCTTCATCAGTACCCACGCCAAGCTTGATCATCCTGTAGATCCTGTTGGCGTGGGTCTGGGGGTCCTCCAGGCTGAACCCGTAGGACAGGAGTGCGGTCTCATACAGCAGAATGACCAGATCCTTCATGGACTTGTCGTTCTTGTCTGCCTCCGCTTTCTGCCACAGGGTCTCGATAATGGAGTGATCAGGGTTGATCTCCAGGTGCTTCTTGGCCACCATGTAGCCCATAGTCGAGTTGTCCCTCAGGGCCTGCGCCTTCATGATTCGCTCCATGTTTGCCGTCCAGCCGTATGTGCTGTTGACAATACAGCATGGAGATGTGACCAGGCGGTTGGACACCACCACCTTTTTGACTTTTTTCTCCAAGATGTCTTTCATAATTTTGCAGAGGTTCTCAAACTTGGTTTTCTTCTCCTCCTGCTTCTTCTTCTCTTCCTCATCTTCAGGAAGCTTCAAGCCCTCTTTGGTGACTGATACTAAAGTCTTCCCCTCAAATTCCTTGAGCTGCTGCACACAGTACTGGTCGATGGGCTCAATCATGTAGATCACTTTCAGGCCGTGCTTCTGTCTATTTTATCAGAGAGTAGCATTGTGACTCCTAATTTTTTGTGGTTGCCATTTGCTTGGTATATTTTTTTTTTCTCCAGCCTTTGATTTTGAGTCTTTCTCTTCTTTTTTTAAAGATATAGCTCTTGTAGGTAACATATTGATGGACTTTTTAAAATCCATTCTACTGCTCTTTTTCTCTTGATTGGTGCATTTATTTAATCCATTCACATTAAGTATCAGGCCAGGATTTACCATTGTCATTTTGCTGTATTTCTTTGTCTATTATTTCTGGTTACTATGGTCCATTCACTTTTCTTTGTTGTCTCTGTGTGAAGGACTTTCCTGAAAAAGTTCTTGTAGTTGTTCTTGTTTTCACAAATTCCTTAAGTTTCTTCTTTCCTGAAAAGGATGAAATTTTCCCTTCATATTTGATGGACATCTTTGCTGGGTATAGCATCCTTGGCTGGCAATTGTTTTCTTTCAACTTTCTGTATATGTCATCCCATTGTCTTCTAGTTTGCATATTTTCTGCTGAGTAATCAGAAATTAACCTTATTGCTTCCCTTTTGTACATAATTCTTTATTTTTATCGCACAGCTTTTAATATTCTCTCCCTATCTTTTCATTTGGAGAATTTGTCTGCTTCTTTAGGAGAAGGCTTATTTTGTTTTTCATGAGTGAGACAGACTGCTGTTTTCTTGAGATGGAAAACAGAACCAGTGAAATAGAAGATAGAATTGTCACTACTGATATTCTAGAGCAAAAAGCAGAATCAAAAAGGAAAGGAAAAGAAGAAAACCTAAGAATACTATGGGACACCACCAAGAAATAACATATGCATCATCAGAATCCCAGAACAGGAAGAAGCAAGTAAAGGCACCAAAAAAGTTGTGGAAGAATTACTAGAGGAAAAATTCCCAGGCATAATGAAGAATGAGAGAATGTATATTCAGGAAGCTGAGCAAATATCATATAGAATAAATGCTGAAAGAAAAACACCAAGGCATGTGATCATCATATTTGCCAGAAGAAAGGAGAGAATTTTGAAAGCAGTGAGGAAGAAACAAAGAGTAACCAATAAGGAAAAGCAGAAAAGATGAAATGCTGATATCTCAGCAGAAACCATGCAAGCAAGAAGACAGTGGAATGACATATAACAAACACTCAGAGAATACGATTGTCAACCAAGAATATTGTACCCAGCAAAATTTTCCATCAAATATGAAGGGGGATCAAGATATTCCCCCCCCAAAAAAAACCAAAGGGGGGGGGTTTGTAAAAACAAGACCAGCATTGCAGGAAACCCTGAGAGACATCCATCTTACAGAGGTGCCACAGAAAGCAGGATGGACTACAGGGAATATTCCCAAAGAGACCATAACTGACATACAAGCAGATATATGCACATCCATGTTTATCGTGGCTTTGTTCACAATAGCAAGGAGTTGGAAAAAAACAAATGGATAAAATAGCTGTGGTATATTCACACAATGGAATACTATGCTGCATTGGAAAACAAGGAACTCATGCAATATTATTCAAAATGGGTGACCCTGGGTGACATTATGCTGAGTGAAGTATCTCAGTAACAAAAGGACAAATACTGCATGCAGTGAATTGAGTCAGTGACTGGGGTAATCGGGATGGGTGTATCAGAGACAGTGTGATTGGCACAGGACAGAGCAGAGTTTAGGGCTGTTGTACATAGGGTCGCTATGAGTTGCAAGTGATTCGATGGCACCTAACAACAACAACAATACTCAAACAAATATGAAAACCTAGAGGAAATGGACAAATACTTAGAAATTCACAACCTATGTAAATTGACACAAACCGAAATTGAACACCAGAATGGACCCTTTACAAAAGAAGAAATTGAAAATGTAATAAAACAACTTCCAGCCAAAATAAGCCCTGGACCAGATGGTTTTACAAGTGAATTTTATCAAACATTCAGAGAAGATTTGACACCAATCCTACACAAACTATTTCAGAAAATAGAAAAATATGGAATTCTCCCAGACTCATTCTATGAAGCAAATATATTCTTGATACCAAAGCCAGGTAAAGACACCACCAAAATAGAAAACTATAGGCCACTAGCTCTCATGAACATAGATGCAAAATTCCTAAATAAAATCCTGGCCATTAGAATCCAATGATCCACAAAAAAAGTAATTCACCATGACCAAGTGGGATTCATAACAGGTATGCAAGGATTGTTCAACATAAGAAAAACAATCAGTGTAATTAATCACATTAATAAAACAAAGAAAAATAACCATGATCCTTTCAATTGATTCAGAAAAGGCCTTTGACAAAAATCTAACACTTTTCTGATTAAAACACTTAACAAAATAGGATTAGGGGGGAATTTCCTCAACATAGTAAAAAGTATATAGGCAAACCCAAGAGCCAACATTGTTCTCAGTGGAGAGAGATTAAAGGCATTCCCTTTGAGAATAGGAACTGGGCAAGGATGCCCACTATCACCTCTCCTGTTCAATATTGTATTGGAAGTCTTACGTATGGCAATAAGGTAAGAGAAGGAAATAAGAGGTATCCAAATTTTGCAAAGAGGAGGTAAAATTATCTCTCTATGCTGATGATATGATAGTATACTTAGAAAACCCTAAAGACTCAGCAAGAAAACTACTAGACATAATTGACCAATTAAGCAAAGTGACAGGATACAAGATCAACATACAAAAATCAATTGGATTTCTCTACAATGACAAAGAGAATATCACAATAGCTAATCACAAGCTTAAATTCATTAGAATAAATCTAACCAGAAGCACAAAGGTTCTATTAAAAGACAAAACATACTACAAGAAACAAAAAGAGAAGACCTGGAGAAATGGAAGAATATCCATCGCTCATGGATAAGACTCAATATTGTGAAAATGACAATACTACCAAAGGCAATTTACGTATTCAATGCAATCCCAATACAAATACCAATTCCATTCTTTAACAAGGCAGAAAAGGCAATCTCCAATTTCATTAGGAATGGAAAGAGACCCCAAATAAGCAAAGCACTCCTTAAAAATAGAAACAAGATAGGAGGCCTCTCACTCTCTGATTTCAAATCCTACTACACTGCTGTGGTGGTTGAGACAGCATGGCACAATGACAGACACATAGATCAATGGAATAGAATTGAGAACCCAGAAATCAGTACATCTACCAATGGACAACTGATTTTTTTTACAAGGAGATGAAATCAGTTAAGTGGGGAAATGACAACCTTTTTTAACATATGATGTTAGCAAAATTGCAAAACTATCGGTAGGAAACTCAAGCAAGATTCACACCTCACTCCATACACAAAAAACAAATCAAAGTGGATCAAGAACAGAGGACTAAAACCAAGGACTATAAACTTTATTAGAGAAAAGCTTGGAAGAACCCTAGAAGCACTAATCCACAACTTGAACAGTCTTCCAAGCATCCTGAAAAATCTACAACCAGGAGAGGATAAAATAGATGAATGGGACCTTCTAAGAATAAAATTCCTATGCACATCCAAATACTTCTCCAAGAGGGTAAAAAGGGAAGCCACAGACTGGGAAAAATATTTGGTAATGACATATGTGATAAGGGACTTATATCTAGAAATTATAAAATACTCAAGCACTGCAACAAGATAAAGGTGTACAATCCAATTAAAAAATGGGCCCAGTATATGAGCAAACACTTCACCAAAGAAGTTCAGATGGCAAACAAACACATGAAGAAATGTTCAAAATCCATAGCTCTAACAGAGATGCAAGTCGAAACAACTATGAGATATCATCTCATTCCAGTAAGAATAGCATAATTTAACAAAACAGTAAGCAACAAATGCTGGCGAGGTTGTGGAGAAATTGGAACTATTGGTAGAAGTGTAAAATGGTGCAAGCATTATGGAAGGCTGTATGGTGATTTCTCAAAAAGTTGGAAATAGAAATACCATTTGACCCAGCAATTCCACCACTGAGAATATAACCTAAAGAAACCACAACTGCCACCCAAGCAGATATATGCTTGCCCATGTTTATTGCTACTTTGTTCACAATAGCAAAAAGCTGGAAACAACACAACTGTTTATCAACAAAGGAACAGACAGAGAAGCTGTGGTATAATCACACAATGGAATACTATGCAGCATTGAAAAACAAGGAACTCATGGAATATTATACAAAATGGCTGACCCTAGAGGACATTATGCTGAGTGAAATATCTCAGTCACAGAAGGACAAATATTGCATCGTGCCAGTGTTTTAAAGTGGGACTGACACCAGAGTTGGGGGGAAACTAAGAAAGGATAAGTAATGTATACTGCATTGAAACAGATGAGGGAGAGAACTGTTTAGGAGGAATACATTGTTGTTGTTGTTGTTATGTGCCATTGAGTCGCCTGCGACTCATAGCGACCCTATGTACAACAGCCCTAAACTCCGCTCTGTCCTGTGC